GTAGCTACTAGTCTAATATTATATTCATCATCAGGACGTAATGAGAGAGACAGCTCAGTATTTGTAGCATTATCATTCATAATAATACCATTACTGTTATTAACAAAGACATGATACTGAGGAGTAGCACTAATCACTGCTGAGGGAGACCAGCCTAGTGTAACTGAGAGAAGACTTATTCTGCTGTAGGTCAAATTCGATGGAGATCCAGTTACTTTAGAAAGAAAGGTATCATTTAATATAATCAAAGAATTGCATATAATATATACATGTACTTACCACTAACATTCCTCATTGCCATATTAGTAGATACTAAAGGTGCAGTTGTAATTCTGTCAGTAGTAACAGAACATTTATACAGGCCAGACACTCTCATTCTAAATATTACTGATACTTGTACTTGTACATCATTATTAACTGGTGTTACAGTACGTATCAGATCATTTTCAGATACATTAAACTGGTTTCCATTATCAACAGAGCAAGTGACTATTGTTGGTGATCTATTAGTGACATTAAATGATAAACTAAACACTGGAGGATCAGCATCAACTGATGAGAGGAGCTGGAAGGAGGGACCACTACCATCAATCATTGGAAGCTCTGTACAATGAGAAATTTGAATAAATGTATTCTAATGTTTTAAGCTTACCACCATCTTTAAGGAAATCAGTATTACCATAAGCAGCAACATACAGTGTCTGATTGATTCCTTCTTCATTTGGTATAACACAACTGTATAGTCCTTGAACACTTGCTATTCCTTTTTTTCTTAACAAACCAATTTGACCAGTAGCACTGTTGCTGGCATACATAGGACCAGAGTTGTAGCCATAGGAATCCGATACAGTTGCTCCATTAGGGTAATACCATGTTCCTATCATATTCTGATTAAGAGAACTCTGACACCACAAACCATCATTCTGACCATCAGAACTACCAGTAACACCAACACCATTACCAGGCCCATCTATATCAAAATCATGAATCAGACCAGCAGCTATCATTGAGAAATTAGCAATAGTCACATTCTCCTCACCAAGAAACAATCTTACACCTACCAGTCTTAGTCTATAATAAAATTGATGATATTAAATACTGACCAGTAGTTGGACGAGGAGGTAGTGAACCAAACTCTAGACATGATACATGAAGTACCAATGATAAGAGAAACAACAAGGACATTACAACTAATAAGCAAAAATAGTAGCCTGTGTAGTTACTAAAGCGTTAGCGTAATTAGTAACGCCGAGCTAGTAACCATAGCGTTATTAATAGGATCAGCTAAATTATGCAGCCACAATGCTTACTATGCTTACCAGACTTCTCAGAGGACCTTTTCTTTACCAGAAGATTCCAAAGGTACCACTAGCGTGGGCTTCAAACCTGGTCAAAACTGGTAAAACGGCGGTCTTGATCAGTAAACTAGAATTTTTCATCAAACAGATATCATACTTCGCTGTAGAATATACTTCGCTGTAGAATATTATAGAGACTTGTTCACTCAATATCTTCATCTTATACCTTGCATTAGCCTGGAATGCCAGCTGTAGAATTTATTCAGATTTTTTACTGCATTCTTCCCATTCCACCACCCATGTACTTGCCACCCAACATGCATGGCGGACAATTTAGCTCAATTTTAGCCACACCCTCCCGTCTATGGAAAAATCAACTTAACTAGAGTCAGCGACCATGTTCCATACAGATCAATTATTCGGACACTAGTATTATAGGAAAACCTGCGTATTTTAACTCAATTTTTTTGCAAATAATACATCTTACCTATTTATGCCTGCGTACCACTTTTGGACTTGGAATGATTTCTGGAAAGAAAGTTATGGAGACAAAACCAACGGTGTCCGTAGACTGCAGACTTCAATAATTATTACCATTTTACGGACAAGGGCTCTAAAAAATACACAGGCGCAAGAGCGATAATTTTGACCTCTTACATAAACATATCAACCCTTACTCTAATCAACAAAATTGTCAGAGGAAAGACCTTCTTCTCCACAAGTAAAAGAAAAGGGACAAGACTAGCACACTCAGATTATCAGTTTACGGAAGTGTACGGACCATGTGTTTTACTTGAAATTTGGCTGAAGCGTGCTTAAAGTTCGGTTAACTGTGGTGAAATTCACTCTGCTTGATTCACTCTTTTGTAATTTGTTCCTGAGAAGTTTCCAAACCGAGGTAAGAATAATGGGGGGAATTTTAGAGGAGCATTATGCCAGAATAATCAAATTGGAATTAAAATTGACTCCATTTAATTTAAAATGGCTGCCACTTAAAAAGATGCACATCAAGGTAACATAATGATGCCCCTCAATTAGATCCTTTGTTTCCTTTTCAAATTTTACAGGCAGGGCTGATGCGGGTGGATTGCTTGATATTAATATTCATTAAACTATTGCAATATAAATTGATGTGCATAGTGTATGAATAATAAAATAACTTGCATAATGGAATAGCTAGGTGATTTTTGGACATCATAGCCACATTCCTAGAATGCATTTTATAGAATGCATTTCCAGACTTGTTGCTACAATGCATGCACTGTTTTTAGTTTTCAATTTTGATTGAAATTATTTTAGTAAACACTTAGGTTACTGATGTTTCCACATCCACCACTTGTGAAAAGAATTGTAAGAAGCAAAGTGCAAGCACAACATAGCCCTTGTCTTGATGATAGTGTGCTTCTTGGACAGCCTCGTAGATCATACCGAAAATGGAATGACAAAAGTATGCAAAAGGCTGCAAAAGCTGTTGAGGAAGGTATTTTTATTCACAAAATAATTATTAGCCTTGCTTACTCTTTGCATAGGCAAAGAATAGGTTCTATTGTTTTTATGGTTTACATACTGTATAGCTGGAAACTTTTGAGGGACTTAACTTTTGCTGATTTCATGTTTTGTTTCAGATTAAAATTCTAGATACTGAAAGCAGGAAATTTTGGAGGAAGTTAAATTTGGCAAATTGCTGAAATTTGGTGATTGGTAAATTTTATTTTGGCAAATTAATGGCCATGTGCCATTGAGCATGCGTATATTGGATCAAAATGGCAGATTTTATTTTGGCGAATGGCTATCAAAGCACCAAATTTGCCAAATTTAATTCCCTTCAAAGGTTTCCACTGTATGTATATGGTAATACATTTCAAGTGGTGGAGTGCTTGGATTTGTGAAAATTATAAATCCATGTATATGATTTTTGAGTGGATCTGTGAAAGTTTAATCCTTCCAAATTTTCCAGCTTCAGTATACTGTATTTAAGCAATGTTGGAATTAATATAATTTTTTTAGGTACTATGTCATTAAGAATGGCTTCTGAGAAGTACTCTGTCCCTAAGTCTACTCTACATGACAGAGTGACGGGCAAAACTGACTTTGAAGCCCGCCCTGGCCCTAGCCCTTATTTAAGTTTTGAAGAAGAGGAAGAACTGGCTAGTTTTTTGATTAAAACTGCAAAGATAGGTTATCCTCGTACAAAGAGGCAAGTCTTGGCATTAGTTGAAAGAATTGTCAGCGCTCGTGGTATTTGTACTTCAGTTACAAATGGGTGGTGGGAACGCTTCTGCAAAAGGCATCCCCAAATGACTCTAAAAATGGCTATGCCACTGTCATATGTTCGAGCTGCCGCAACTGATCCAGTAATTTTGAATAAGTACTTTGACACACTAGAAGAAACATTGACAGATAATGACATTCTAAATAGACCAGTCCACATTTTTAATTGTGATGAAACTGGGATGCCATTGAATCCCAAATGTTTGAAAATTGTAGATAAAAAAGGATCAAAAAACCCCAGCTATATAACATCCAACACTAAAGCTCAAGTGACTGTTCATGCTTGTACCTGTGCTGCTGGCTATGCCATCCCTCCATTTGTTATATTCAAACGAAAGTCCCTTAATCCAGAGCTAACAAAAAATGAAGTGCCTGGTACTTTATATGGGCTCTCTGAAAATGGTTGGATGACAAAGGATCTTTTTTATTATTGGTTCAGAGAACATTTCTTATTGTATGCCCCACAAGTTCGACCACTTCTTTTACTGATGGATGGGCATGCTACACATTACTCTCCAGAAACCATTCGCTTAGCTGCCTCTCATAAAGTTATTATATTTGTTCTTCCACCAAACACGACCCACATTACTCAGGCACTTGATAAGGGTTGCTTTGGGCCTCTAAAAGTAGCATGGAGACATCTTTGCCATGAGTTTTTTGTTGATAACCCTGAAAAAGCAACTTTATCCCTTTATGATTTTTCTGGAATTTTTTCTGAAGCTTGGGCTAGGGCATTTTCAGTAAAGAATATTCAGTCTAGTTTTAAAGTAACAGGAATATGTCCACTTAATAAGTCTGTGTTAGAGAAATATGTATCGATTACAGAGCCTGATTCAGAAGAAAAGTTTTCTGTCTTTCAACCTGCCAATTTGGCTCGTAAGAATGGCATCAAGCACCTTCCTTTGTATAGCCCATCTCGTAGTTGTTGTCATGATGTTAGCAAATCTGCTCATAGTGAACTTGATGAGTCATTAGATGGTTTTGAAAAACACCTTCTAGAGAGAAGTTCTAGGTCATTTAAAGAAAGTTCTGTTGCACCAAGTCATGATAGTTCCAAAATTTCAAGGTTTCTTATTCCTCCTGTATCTCCAAGAAAGTCACAAGTAGATGAAAAGGCGTTATGCAAAGTTCTTACAAGTCAGGATAGCATTAGATTAATGAAAGACAAGGAAGAGAAGAAACAGCACGAGGCTCGACTAAAAGAAATGAGGAAACAAGATCGATTAAGGAAGCAAAAAGTGCAGCAGTCGAAAGCATCTGGCGTCAAAGTATCATTTGCAAAAAATCAAGTTATTTTAGAGGATAGTGATGGTTTTCAAAGTGAAGTTGAAAGTGATTGTGAATTAAATGTTCAGTCAGATTTTGAGTTAGATTGTTCTTATGCTGAATGGAGAGGAAAAGGTATTGTACTGCAAATTTAATTTCTGATGTTTTATGTACAATTACATGAATTAGAATCACAGTCAGATTATGAGTCAGAGCCTTCTACGAAAACAGGAACAAGAGGACAGAAGAAGAGTAAGTTATTATTGTTGTTGTTATTATTATTGTTGTTTAGAGCTTGTAGATATTCAGCCACAGTCCGATTATGAGTCAGAGCCTTCAACAGAAACAGGAACAAGAGGACGGAAGAAGAGTAAGTTATTGTTGTTGTTATTATCGTTATTGTTGTTGTTATTATTGTTGTTTAGAGCTTGTTGATATTCAGCCACAGTCCAATTATGAGTCAGAACCTTCAACAAAAACAGGAAGAGGACGGAAGAAGAGTAAGTTATTATTATTGTTTTTATTATCATTATTGTTGTTGTTGTTGTTATTGTTGTTTAGAGCTTGTAGATATTCAGCCACAGTCCGATTATGAGTCAGAGCCTTCTACAAAAACAGGAACAAGAGGACGGAATAAGAGTAAGTTATTGTTGTTGTTATTATCGTTATTGTTGTTGTTATTATTGTTGTTTAGAGCTTGTTGATATTCAGCCACAATCCGATTATGAGTCAGAGCCTTCTACAAAAACAGGAAGAGGACAGAAGAAGAGTAAGTTATTATTGTTGTTGTTGTTATTGTTGTTTAGAGCTTGTAGATATTCAGCCACAGTCTGATTATGAGTCAGAGCCTTCTACAAAAACAGGAGCAAGAGGACGGAAGAAGAGTAAGTTATTATTGTTGTTGTTGTTGTTATTGTTGTTGTTATTATTGTTGTTTAGAGCTTGTAGATATTCAGCCACAGTCCGATTATGAGTCAGAGCCTTCAACAAAAACAGGAAGAGGACGGAAGAAGAGTAAGTTATTATTATTGTTGTTATTATCGTTATTGTTGTTGTTATTGTTGTTTAGAGCTTGTGGATATTCAGCCACAATCCGATTATGAGTCAGAGCCTTCAACAAAAACAGGAACAAGAGGACGGAAGAAGAGTAAGTTATTATTATTGTTGTTGTTGTTGTTATTGCTGCTTAGAGCTTGTAGATATTCAGCCACAGTCCCATTATGAGTCAGAGCCTTCTACAAAAACAGGAACAAGAGGACGGAAGAAGAGTAAGTTATTATTATTGTTGTTGTTGTTATTATTGTTGTTTAGAGCTTGTAGATATTCAGCCTCAGTCCGATTATGAGTCAGAGCCTTCTACAAAAACAAGAGGACGGAAGAAGAGTAAGTTATTATTATTGTTGTTGTTGTTGTTATTGCTGCTTAGAGCTTGTAGATATTCAGCCTCAGTCCGATTATGAGTCAGAGCCTTCTACAAAAACAGGAACAAGAGGACGGAAGAAGAGTAAGTTATTATTATTGTTGTTGTTGTTATTATTGTTGTTTAGAGCTTGTAGATATTCAGCCTCAGTCCGATTATGAGTCAGAGCCTTCTACAAAAACAAGAGGACGGAAGAAGAGTAAGTTATTATTATTGTTGTTGTTGTTGTTATTGTTGTTGTTTAGAGCTTGTAGATATTCAGCCTCAGTCCGATTATGAGTCAGAGCCTTCTACAAAAACAGGAACAAGAGGACGGAAGAAGAGTAAGTTATTATTGTTGTTGTTGTTGTTATTGTTGTTGTTTAGAGCTTGTTGATATTCAGCCACAGTCAGATGATGAGTCAGAGCCTTCTACAAAAACAGGAACAAGAGGACGGAAGAAGAGTAAGTTATTATTATTGTTGTTGTTGTTGTTATTATTGTTGTTTAGAGCTTGTAGATATTCAGCCACAGTCCGATTATGAGTCAGAGCCTTCTACAAAAACAAGAGGACGGAAGAAGAGTAAGTTATTATTATTGTTGTTGTTGTTGTTATTGTTGTTGTTTAGAGCTTGTTGATATTCAGCCACAGTCCGATTATGAGTCAGAACCTTCTACGAAAACAAGAGGACGGAAGAAGAGTAAGTTATTATTATTGTTGTTATTATCGTTATTGTTGTTATTATTGTTGTTTAGAGCTTGTTGATATTCAGCCACAGTCAGATGATGAGTCAGAGCCTTCAACAAAAACAGGAAGAAGAGGACGGAAGAAGAGTAAGTTATTATCATTGTTGTTGTTGTTGTTATTATTGTTGTTTAGAGCTTGTAGATATTCAGCCACAGTCAGATGATGAGTCAGAGCCTTCTACAAAAACAGGAACAAGAGGACAGAAGAAGAGTAAGTTATTATCATTGTTGTTGTTGTTGTTATTATTGTTGTTTAGAGCTTGTTGATATTCATCCACAGTCCGATTATGAGTCAGTACCTTCTACAAAAACAGGAATAGGAATAAGAGGACGAAAGAAGAGTAAGTTATTATTGTCATTGTTGTTATTATTGTTGTTTAGAGCCTTTAGATATTCAGCCACAGTCAGATTATGAGTCAGAACAGTATACAAGAGCAAGAGGTGCATCATGCATGATTTGTTATTATGTTTATAATAATTAATAGATGATTACGTTGAACTGTCAGATTGTGAATCAATAAATCAGAGTATAGGAGGGACGAAAGGTATGTACATGTAAATACGTATTTACATGTACATGTACATTTATTAATCATTCTTCAACATTCTAATAGGTAGCTCTAGATCTGCATGTAGTTCACTTAAAGACAAAGAAGATGCATGTGAGTATAAATTATTAAGCAGGAGTTCATGCATGTTGTAAAAATTTTTTGCATTGCAATCAGTGTAGACAGGCACAAATCATAATTGATTATAAATTCCTAATTGTATTGAACACAGCCTCCTCATTTGCATCTAGCACATTTTTGATAAAAATTATTTTTACAATAGATCTTGATCAGTGGTGGATCAAAGATTTAAAACTGTATAATGCAGACAAAGAATCACTGAAATCTACTGTTCCTCTCACTGACAATATAATTAATGCTGCCCAAGTTCTTCTCAAGCTACAATATCCTCACATTTCTGGTTGGCAAGATACATTGTTGGAAAAGAAAATGAATTTTGATGTTATAAGTTCTTATCCTGCAATTCAACTTCTCTTCGTTGGTTAGTTATTATTCTGCTTTTATCTAAAACAAGCAAAATAATTTTTTCTAGGAAAGAATCACTGGATATGCACATGTGCTATGACACCAGGCACAGTAACAGTTATGGATTCTTTGCAATTGTACTCAAGGTTAAGAAAGGCAACAGTGAATCTCATTTCACATGTATATCGATATCATACGTTTTTAAAATCTCTAAAAATTGAAACATTAGCAGTACAACAGCAAGAAGGCTATACTGACTGTGCCCTGTTTTCTATCGCTTATGCTGTTGAGCTTTGTTTAGGAAACAATCCAGAGAATTCATGTTTTGATCAGGGTCAACTAAGAAATCACTTATACAAGTGTTTCGTTAATAAAAGTCTAATACCATTCCCAAAACAAAAAGTTGAACCACTCCCACGACCTAGGAGACTATACTATGAAGTAAAAATCTTCTGTTATTGCAGATTGCCAGAAAATTATGATAAAATGATGATCATGTGTGATTTATGTCAGGAATGGTACCATTGCTCTTGTGCTGGGATAAAAGAAAGTGAACTTGATGATATTGATGATTGGATGTGTGACATTTGTAATAAGTATTGAACTAATAAGTTTATTTGTATTGGGTCACATTAACTTTTGTATATTATGAAAAAGTTTTATTGTTCAGATAATAATGTATGCTCTACGTGGTGACCTGAGGCGCCATCACTTTTTCTTCCAGTAATGCAGCAGTCTTTAGGGTGTTGCCAAATACAGGAAAGCCAATTTTTCTTCGGTTTTAATTTGGCTATTGAAGCAGCATAATTATCGTAGGATTATAACTAAAATAAAAAGGTTATGATTGCATTTTATTAGAGATGTATACCATAATCATAATGATTTCTTCAGGGAATTATATTTTATAAAAGGCAAGATGTGTTATGTTTATTATTAACCAATTCATTTAGCAGCTTTCATTTTTGTGGCTCATGAAGGAAACTGTCCCTGAAAAAACCACTTATACAGTACAACATAAATAACATCTAATAATTACATTAAATGTAACAATACTGTTAACAATAACAGTACATAGAATACTACTAAAATGCTATCATCCAAACCATTATAATCATGCAGTATGCTACCATCTTGACTATTATCACTACAAACATTAATTTTTCAACAGGGACTTTGATTATTTTACCTTTCTTCAGTCAATCTTCTTGTTTGAATCCTGTGACTCATAATCTGACTGTGGTTGAATATCTACAGGCTCTAAAACATGATGATGATGATAAGATAATAGTAACACACTTATCAATCATTTCAAAATGGGCTTGGGCCAGGGCAGGCTTTCAAACAGTCAGTCTTAGAGACACAGAATTTTTCAGAAGCCATTCTTAAACATACATGTACCTAAAAATTGTTCACTAAATAATTTTCATTGAAATTGTAAACTAAAAACTGTGTATGCCAAGCCCAGCAATTATATATGCACTTAAACACAAACTATTATGCTCTTCATTAATGTGCATCTTTTCGATTGGCAGCAATTTTTAGTTGAATGGCATTAATTTTAATTATTATCATTAACCTATTAAATTTTGATTATTATAGTAAATGCCTCTCTAAATTTCCATCCACCCATTATCACTACTGAGCTTGCCAATGGCACACCAATAAATTCGCTCGTTACTCATGCAAGTGTGCCATAAACAATAACAACAGCACCACAGTGTCGTCATTATAATAACAAAAAAATTGACTAAAACGTTTGTATCTGCATCATTACAACAAGCCATGAGGCTGATCACAATGAACTGCATCTAATGAGAGCTATGAGGCACATGATGAGCACATAGGCCCTTCCCCATACCTAATTGTCTAATAAGGAGTATCTATCCTGATTATCCCTAAGAAAGGAAGAAATAATAAGTATAATCAGTTATAAATGTGTTTTTACCTCAGTTGCAACTTCCCAGGCACAATTTACAGCCTTAAGAGTGAATTTCCACACAGTTTAACTAGAGTTTAGCACTTTCAAACCAAATTTCAAGTAAAACACATGGTCCGTACACTTCCGTAAACTGATAATCTGAGTGTGCTAGTCTTGGCCCTTTTCTTTTACTTGTGGAGAAGAAGGTCTTTCCTCTGACAATTTTGTTGATTAGAGTAAGGGTTGATATGTTTATGTAAGAGGTCAAAATTATCGCTCTTGCGCCTGTGTATTTTTTAGAGCCCCTGTCCGTAAAATGGTAATAATTATTGAAGTCTGCAGTCTACGGACACAGTTGGTTTTGTCTCCATAACTTTCTTTCCAGAAATCATTCCAAGTCCAAAAGTGGTACGCAGGCATAAATAGGTAAGATGTATTATTTGCAAAAAAATTGAGTTAAAATACGCAGGTTTTCCTATAATACTAGTGTCCGAATAATTGATCTGTATGGAACATGGTCGCTGACTCTAGCTATGCTTGGTGGAGGTTCCAGGGTTTCATAACTATTCACCACAATAGCAATCTGAAGAAAATATTACAATTATTATTTTTAAAATCAATTAACATAAACAAGAACATAAAAATTAAAATTACTCTCATGATGCAAATTCTACTCTACTATTGCAAGGTGACCTGTAATTTCTTACATTAGTAGAATTTGTGTCATGAGAGTAGGATTTTTATTTTGTATCTTTGTTGGTCATTTGGAATCCTACTTACCCTTGTTTCCACTACTTTTTTTACAAATTTGCTCTAGAATCCTACTTAATCTTGTTTTTTAAATTTTTTATGCTTACTCATACATTAATATTGTGCTAAGTCATCAATTTACCAGTGATATGAACTGTTAGTTCAATGTGCACACAAACAGTTTGTAATACTGGTAGTTGTGTATGAATTTGTGTGTGTCAATTAGTTCTGGTGCATATGTGTGCTCATGTCAGTTCTAGTGTATGTATGTGGATCTATAATGCATATGACAGTGTTAATCAGCATAAATATTGTGCTGCTGCTACTATGGAATGATTTTAACGATAATCAAAGGACACTAATGAGTTTCATGATGTTATACTAGCCAATGTTAATTTGTGCATGTCTTACGAGAACTATTGATACTCAAGAGTTATCATAAAAGGGGATTAGTGAGTGAGCAATAGCATAAACTTAAAAAAAATAATTATTTAAAACTGCATCAACACTATTAATTATTATTTAAATCACACTTGGTCAAAATTTATAAATCAATTAAAGCACTTTAAGACATATTTTCATACTCATCAACATCTTGCTCCTCATTTGTCTCTCCTTGATTGGGACTAGAAGCTAATCAAGGATAATAATAAAAACACATAATGTGAGTATGAACATAAAAATTAGGATTACTTTGAGCAGTAATAGGACTGGTAGCATATGCAGGACAGTTGGCTATTGGTATATTATCAACACTGTCTCCTACAATTGGTGTATCTTCTTCTTTTTGCTGCACAACTTTATCATCTATTGGTTCATATAAATATTCATCAATCCTCTCATACATTCCTTCATTATTTCTATCAAAAATGTCATATACAAACTTTTAGTTAAGTAGATGATTCTTACTGTGTTGCAGAAGTATTAGCAATTGCTACTAAACCATATCCTGCATTAGGTGCTACACTGAGTTCATTGGCTTTACTATAATGACATAGATACATAAATTGTAAGCATTACATTTTTTACTTTATGTCAAACTTTTTGGACTTTTTTTTATACCAAACTACAATAACAATACACACAAGTAACACCACCAAAAAGAAAATCATTATTAACGACGTTGGAACTATTACTGCTGCTATAGGAACACTATCATCATCAGCACTACTGGTATTTGTAGGTGGCACTAGTAAAAATAAAGCATGGATATATTGTACAAGTAGCTATAGAACTAACTTGTTAGGGAAGTGTGAATTGCTGGTCCTTCAATTAGTCCTACATCACTCAATAGCAATACACTAATACTCACAGTATAAGCTAACTGTGGTTCAGTATCAATTATATTAACTGATGTGGTATCATAAGCTACTGATATAGTTCTTGTATTAGTTTGTCT